GGAAGACAGCATTCCGTACAAGATATGGTCATTTCGAATATAATGTCATGCCTTTTGGTCTTACCAATGCTCGAGCGGTTTTCCAACATATGATGAATGACATCTTTCGAGAACACCTCGACGATTTTGTTGTCATCTACTTGGACGATATTCTAATATTCTCTAAAAATGAGGAAGAGCATGAGGAGCATGTTCGTTTGGTCTTGGAGAAACTACGCAAGCAAGGACTGTATGCCAAATTAGAAAAGTGTTTATTTCACCAAACGGAGATGGAATTTTTGGGGTTCATTGCGACTACAGAAGGTTTGAAGATGGACCCCAAGAAAGTAGAAGCAATCATGTCTTGGGAGGTTCCGAAGACGGTTAGAGACGTACAATGCTTTCTTGGTTTTGCTAACTTCTATCGGATCTTCATCAAGAATTATTCTCAAGTTACTGCTCCTCTCACTCGATTAACATGCAAGGATAAGTTAGAATGGGGACCTTTGGCGGAGAAGGCATTTCAAGATTTGAAGTCAGCATTTACTACAGCTCCAATTTTGGTACATCTAGACTTTACAAAGGCCTTCTATTTAGAAACTGATGCTTCAGATTTTGCTTTGGGAGCTGTGCTTTCACAAATGAGTGAAGATAAGAAGCTCCATCTAGTTGCATTCTATTCTCGAAAGTTCTCTGTTGCTGAAATCAATTATGAGATCCACGATAAGGAACTTCTTGCTATAGTGGATTCTTTCGAAGAATGGCGTCACTTTCTTGAAGGAGCTGCACATCCAGTAACTGTATATACGGATCACAAGAATTTGGAGTATTTCATGACGGCTCGAGTTTTAAATCGGCGTCAAGCTCGGTGGAATATGTCGCTATCTAGATTCGATTTTGTTATCACTTATCGACCTAGAAGGCAGCAAGGACTATCCGATGCTTTATCAAGGAGATCGTATCTTGCACCAAAGGTTGGAGAAGTAGCGTTTGATCAACAATGTACAACGTTATTGAAGCCAAAGAGATTTCAACTTTGTGCTATTATTGTATCATTTAATGTTGACTTCCTAAACCAGGTACGTGCTATGACCATTAAAGATTCAGTAGCCATTGATATCAAGCAACGTACCAATGACGACAAGTTCAAGGTGGAGGGAGATCTTTTATACTTTGAAGAGCGATTGTACATTCCAAAAGGACCAGCACGACTCCGAGTTCTTCAATCTTGCCATGATTTTTCAGCTGCGGGACATTTTGGATTCAACAAGACCTTGGAGCTTATTTCTCGAGATTTTTGGTGGCTCCAAATGTAGAAGGATGTGAAAGATTTTGTCCTCTCTTGTGACATCTGTTCAAGATCTAAGAATCCTTGACATCGCCCTTATGGACTTCTACAGCCATTGCCAATTCCACGTCGACCATTGTCTTCAATTTCTATGGACTTCATCACGGACTTGCCATCATCAAACTCATTTGACAGCATCTTTGTTGTGGTAGATCGGCTTACAAAGATGGCACACTTTGTTCCTTGTAAGAAGACATCGTCCAGTGAAGTCACAGCAAGACTCTTTCTCGATAATGTGTATCGATATCATGGACTACCAGATGATATCATATCAGATCGAGGTACCCAGTTCGTGTCAAAGTTTTGGAGATCTCTCTTTGGGATATTGAAGGTGGATATCAAGCTTTCTTCAGCTTTTCATCCTCAAACTGATGGCCAAACGAAACGGGTGAACCAAGTCTTGGAGCAGTACTTACGATGCAGCATCAACTATCAGCAAGACCATTGGACTGCATATCTACCGCTAGCCGAGTTTGCATATAACAACACCCTCGATGCGTCGACTCAACAAATACCATTCTTTTCCAACTATGGATATCATCCGAAGCTTGATTTATTGAGTCCGTCAACAAATAACAATCCAGCAGCTGAAGGATTTACGAAGCAACTATCAGAGCTTCAAACTATATTGAAGCTTCAATTACAATCCGCTCAAGAATCCTATAAGACGTCTGCAGATAGATTTCGGAATCCAGCACCTACTTTCAAAGTTGGAGACAAAGCTTGGCTTCTTCGACAAAATATCAAGACCAAGCGACCATGTGATAAGTTGGACTATCGATGATTGGGACCATTTATCATCCAGAAGCAAATTAATCCAGTGGCATACCAACTGGAGTTACCGGCTTCTATGAAGGTACATCCAGTCTTTCATGTTTCTCTGTTGGAACCTTATCGAGAGTCATCTTTTCCTGGAAGAGTGCAATGTCCGCTACCTAGTATTGAAATCGAGAACCACGAAGAATACGAGGTTGAAAAGGTATTGGATTCACGGCGAAGGTGGGGAAAGTTAGAATATCTTTTTCATTGGTGCGACTATGACATTAATGAGCGAACGTGGGAGCCAGTTGAAAATCTTGCGAATGCGCCACAAAAGGTACAGGAGTTTCATCAACGACATCCCGATAAACCTAAATCAATTCGATGATAGCTTCTTTCTGACGCTTGTTCTCCCAACAATATAAGCAAAGGGGAGTGCACCAGCAAAATTCATAGTTGATGTAGTTATTTTCTCCAAGATAGATCGTAGTTTGGTCTTCTGATATGGATAGCCAAGAGATAGATACTATGCCAGTCAGAGTATCGCAACCGAGTAGCTCACGAAGGTGACCCCGAGATGAAGAACTACATGTACCACGACGACGACGGAGGATACCGAGTAACCGATCACTGGTGATTGTATTTGAGATCGAGCCTGCTTACGATGGTCAGCCAAAAGGCGAGTTTGGAGGACAATTTCACAATGAGGACACGGAAGTTCATGCTTGGTCAGAAGTTGAAGGCGTGGGCCATTACCGTTGGCTTCAAGGGTTGATGAACCACTTGCCTCGTGAACAACAGTTGGAGTTCATAGCAGAAGTTATGCGACAGATCTTCATTTTCTTGCGTTGGTACTGATCAACAACATTGCTTCTCAGAGACCTCGAAGCTAAAGGAGGGGGTGATGTTAGGGACATATTCCTTAGAACTTTCTAGAGAGAAGTTTCTAGAACCTTCTAGAAAACAAGCCTCTGGAACCTTCAAGAAGAGAAGCCTCTGGAACCTTTTAGAGAGAAGTTTCTAGAAGCTTCTAGAAGGGAAGTCTCTGGAACCTTCTAGAAGAGAAGTTTCTAGAAGCTTCTAGAAAGGAATCCCCTGGAACTTTCTAGAAGCTTCCTAGTTAATAGAAGTAGCTCGAGAAGTTTCTAGAACCTTCTAGAAAGGAAGCCTCTAGAACCTTTTAGAAGCTTCCTAGTTAATAGAAGTAGCTCGAGAAGCTTCCTAAGTAGGAGTATATATAGGGATCGAGGCTGAAGAGTTCTTCAGTCTCGACAACACATCTCTTGGAGTTCTAGCTCACCTTTCTGGTGTTGTTCTTGTACTCATCTGTTTAATCTAGTTCTGCCACTTCTTCTTGAACTTCTTGTTAGATTTCAAGTCTGTATTTTGTGTCCGTGATATAAAGTCAAAATCCTCTTTTTATTACCTTTTGCAATAAGCATTATTATAGTACTGATTATAATATGCTCTTTCACATATAATGATATCAAAAGAAAGAAAATTTGAACTTAATCCACTAAAAGATTCAATGTCTTTCTACACGTATTGTTAGTAAAACTTTGCACTACTCTAAAGAATCTCATGCCTAATAACTTGGCAGATCCTAGTCTTGTTCCTTCATGCTTCTTACCATTATAAATAGTTAGACTAACTTAGGGCATATGTAAACAAACAAAGTATTACAATTGTGCTTCACTAAAATGTCTAGCACAAAAGAATTCTACAAAAGAAAACCATAAAAATATACCAACAAAGATTCATGAAGTAGATTGTGAACAATAAAAGCAAAGTCCGTTCTTCTAATTTGGCTATAGCAATATACTCAAGCAATTTTTTCTTTGCAATCTCTTGCTAAATTACTTAATTTTATAAAGTGAAAAATTATTCCAAAACTCTTCTTTTTTATTGGAATAAGGATTTGAAGAAGAAGTCTAGGACTTGTTGCAAGACTAGGAAGACAAAATTCAAATTTTTCTCTAAAAACCTTGCATATTGATTGGCTAGTGGGATTGTTGCAAAAGGGTTGTCAACCATTGATTCCTTGATTCTTTGATGTAGATAATAGTCTCTATACAACAACAATTAGCCAATTAAAAGCCTCTATTTTTTGGGGGTGTACTTGTAGTTTGAACCATATATATATACATATATATAAATATATATATAACCTCATCAATTCATTTAAAAGAAACTTGACTTTCATAAAATCATTACAATATTTATAAGTAAGAGAAAAAACCTCTATTCCATTCATTGATCACTATTTTATAATCATAAAAATAATAAAATAAGTTCTATTATAACTTTTTATATAATTTTAACAAAAAATAATAATCAAATGATTTATAATTTTATGTTTTATATATTATTACAATTTACAAATAATATTACAAAAAAATACACTCAAAATTGACATTTCAAATTTTGATGGTAAAGTACCTTCAATAAAATTTATCAAATTTCCCAACATGAGAACTATTGCAGACCCAAACAGAATTTTCGCAAACATTATTACTGTGAACTTAAGAATATTAAATCTAACTGAAATCCATATGCAAGTGACTCCGAGACAGAGAGGACGAATGAATGAAAAACGTATACCCCATGTATTCATCCATCTAAGACGTGCACGCAGGCGGAGGGAGGGAGGAGGGGAGATGCGCGGCGGCGACGATGGTCGGGACGACGTGAGCCAAGTCGTCAAGGCTGCGAGTGCGCGATCGAAGAAACATTCCCGATGTGCACAATCTCGCATTGAAAACCCAGATTGCGGTACCCAACTATGGCCACGCAGCACGCGCACGTGCCGCCCTCCTCCACAGCCCAGATGTCGCCGCACGCAGCCCCCACTATTCGATTACAACAACAGATGCACTACCCGAATCACGCCCCACATCAGCAGCAGCAGGTACAAATCTCTCTTCGATCCCACCAACTGTTCTGTCACGTCTCGAATGCGTCACCTCGCTCCCAATTATCGCCCAATCCCATCGAAGATTTGGGACGTGACACGCTCTTCAGTGCTTTTGATGCCCCTCGCGGCTCCGACAGGCTCGCTGTGCCGTCAGCTCTACTATTTCTCGCCACACCCATGGCCGGGTCGGGTCGGGTTGGATTGAGTTGAGTTGGCGTGCCTCACCCAGCTGCTGATGTTGGTGGACGATCATTGGAGTTACAAATGAGCTGTGGTGGATGAACATGGTATTATTTTTTGGTGTGGTTGAGATTGTTGTGACGCGCACAATCAGTTGATTGTTAGTGCCGTGATCGACCTTTTTGTTGCCAACCTGGGTCTAGGTCAAGGGTCATGAAGAGACCAAAGAATGAGATTTTTAGTAATGGCGGGGATGACAGTTTGGTGATCAGGTTGCGTGGATTGACACGCACCCGATTCATTTTTTTCGTAATTGTTGAGTGTGATAGGTGTGGGATGATCCATGAGTTCGTGTTTCCGACGGTGTCTCGATTAGCGAGCTTCTCTGGGGTTTGTCCGAAAGTGAAGAAATTCGTCATTTTAGACTCTATGGGATTAGGGTGGAGGTTTCTGTGTGATTAGAATGGGAAAGACAATTTTAATAGTTGGTAAATGGTTTCAACATGCGGAGTGGTCAGAATTGAAAGAAGAGAGTAATTAAATACATTCCGTTTCTAGTTGTGATCGTAACCACAACCCTGCATACCTTGGCACCTGGTAGTTACCGATCGTGTAGAAATACACTCTTGGGCACAACTATTTATCTTGTGGTGTAGTTGATAATCTCTACCTTACCATTAGAACGTCTGTCGATGTCACTCTAATGAGTGCTGATGCAGCTGCAGCTCCACTATCAGCAAATTCAGAAGCAGCAGCTGGCCCAGTTTTGGGCTCAGCAAACACAAGAGATGGAGGAAGTCAATGGTATGTCCCTATGCATGCGTGGATCAGAATACTTAATCTTGTGAATTCACGAGATATTGAACTCCAAGGTTATCTCAAATGAATAAACTTAATCAATGTAAAAGCTTACAAAACCTACGAATAGACGAAGTAATGCACGTAGTATATCTCATTTGGTAACCTGATTATCAGTTGAGCTGCGACAGGTTGAAATGGTCTTTTTATTTATGTTTGTAATACTGATTTTTTAAGGCTGCGGTGAAACTAATTGGTGAAGATCTGTACAGTAATCTCAAGCGTCTTGTATGAGAATAATCTCTAAATTTGGGGCCAATCTGGGTCACATTAAATGTTACTTGTTACTTTTTTGACATTCACTGTCCTGTGTTCTTCAGATTCCAAGACTCATCAGCTTCCACTGGCGCGCATAAAGAAGATCATGAAGTCTGATGAAGATGTCAAGGTCCTCGTTCCTTCGTCGTATTTTCTCTTCTGCATATTGATTAGGGGATATAGCTTCCAGTTTCTCAATTCACAAGTATTAGATCTATCCCGTTTTGTTAGAATTGAAGTGTCATGTGTCCAGTGAGTACATCAGGAGATGGATTATGATATTGTCTACCGTTTTCTGTATCGCTATTACTGATTCGCTTCAAAAAATCTATGGTTAAATGACTTTGCTGAGATGTGGATCATGTTTTTCAAGCAGATGATCGCAACAGAAGCTCCAGTGCTATTTTCTAAAGCTTGCGAGATGTTTATATTGGAATTGACGCTTCGGTCTTGGATTCACACTGAAGAGAATAAGAGACGGACACTACAGAGAAACGATATTGCTGGCGCCATCACTAGGGGCGACATTTTTGACTTTCTTGTAGACATTGTTCCACGTGACGAGCTAAAGGTGCATTTCTTGAAACCACCAACTATTTTGGAGACCGGTATCTCAATGTTCAATATCGATCTTGTAACTCAAGTTCATTATTTTTGGTTCTCATCCTTTTTACTTGTTTTTTTTACATGTTTTATGGTTTTTATTAGTGAAAATGTTTTTGTCCAATTTGTTCTCATATCATGCTTAGACTGCATTGTTAACTTAGTGCAGACAGTCCACAAATTCACCCTTTACAAGCTCTTCCTTTGACTTTCTCAGCAATTCCACATACTAAACAATTTGTGTTCCAGGAAGAGGATTTGGGTGTACCATGGTCTGGAGTTCCAGCCGATGGCGTGCAATATGGAGGGATGTACTATCCTCCCATGCCTGGGCAGCCAATACATCCAATGAGAGCTCCTGTAAGTTACTACACCTTTTCAACATTAGTGGATCTTAGTCTCAACCATATGATTGAGCTGTAGAATACCTTGGAATCGGAGGAATTACGAAGATCACCCAAGGTTTGAAGAGTTCGTATAGCTGATTATGGACGCGAGTTTTAATTTCTTGGTTGAGCTGAAGTTAATCTTGAATGTGTATTGGCTAAGATTACTGATCACAGTTATGATGCAGAGGATGATGGTCGGCCAACCAGCCGTTCCACCAAATCCACAAATGATGTATCAATCACCACTGGTAATTGCAGGCTTTAGAATTCCCTTGCCAAGTTCGTAACTTTCATAGCTACTTCTAATTATGGGCGTGATCTACAAAAGAGCTGTTCACTTAATTTTACATGTGAGGAATGATTGGGTGTATCCACAGACAGTGTCTGACTGGTTTCAAGGCTTGCAAACTCTACCTTGCAGTATCTAGATCTATGATCATAGGCTCTAAATTATATTTCACCACTTTCTGAGCTTATAATGGGCAAAATACCTGTCGTAACCTTGTGAGTTTTGTATTCCAAAGTTTGCTGTTTGATTTTTGACGTTTCTGCTCTTTCAGGCTGTGCTTGCGCCAGAGCAGCAGCAGCAACCACAGCAGCAACTGTATTAATCTGTAGAGTATACAATAGCCTCTTGTACGCTTTGCGATGAAGCAAAAGAGCTCTCGCATCAAGTGACCAGCGTTACATGGAGCGGAATTCATCGTATTGATGTTATTTACTATTATACGGCCGGAGAAGTCACAGCAAGCAGGTGCATCCTCGTCTTAATGGTACTGTTGTGTTGGCATTTTGCTTCATTTTGAGGATCCTGGACAACAAAGCTCTGAAGAGTGACAAATGGTTCTTAGTGCCTCTTTTCCTAGCAGAGGTTGAATTTGGTTTAGCACTATAGCCCTCGTAGTGGATATCATGCTAACTTTGTGAATATGGAGATCAGTCCTAGTTAAGTATTAGCGATCGCTGGAAATTCTCTGAAGGTTCAAGACACAGATATCTGTTGTCTTAGCATCACTGTCTCTTTTCATCGCCTTAGCTCTTTTCTTTTACATTTCTGTATCAGTAGTCCTTATGGCTTCTAGTCTGCAGTTTCGGTGGGATCAGTATTTAACCTTATTCTGTCATACATTAGAGCTCTATTTTAGACATCATCTTTCAACTGAACTCACATCAGGTGGTTGGTATGTTCACATATTCTAAGTTTTATGTACTGGTATTCAACACATTTGGGTGCGTGTGTTTGAATAGATGTGGAACGAATTTGAATTACCTACGCTTTATTAATTGTCGAAATTCAAACAAGCACATCATGAACTAATCTTTTATTATTGGAACTGCCAATATGATCAAGAGAAATAATCGTAGAGCACGTTCCGAAATGAATGGGCTTGAGACTTGTGCGCGAACAAATCTCATAGAAGGAAGAGTATTCTCAGAGGCACTTAATAGCTTTATGTCTACTTGGATTTTTAATTATGGGTCTTCCTAGGAAAATTATTGGGTGTACGAGAGCAAGATTTATAAATGGAGTGGATTCCATGGTGATGCCTCTGACGATCCTTTTTTCTACAGTTTTACGTAAAATTAAAATTCCAGTCCTCACGTGACTCCACAACTTTCTCATGCGTATCATGGCATAACGAAAATGTAATTGCCTTCGCATTGTGCGACCATCTTTCACAAGTACAAGCTGTTTCTACAGTGGACCATCCAAGTCTTTTGACCGTGTATATACATACATCTATACATACGCACGTAAGTATGTATATATGTATACATAGATTGATTTGCCACTTCTGAATAGGTTTGCAAGTGATCCAAAAATTCATTTGTTTTGGACAGTTAGGTTAATTCCGACATGCAACTGGGACGAAATAATGATTTTTAGAAATTTTTTTTTCTGCTGCCATTTGCTGTGATCGGTTACAAATGTCTTAAAATTTACTGGCTTACCAGTTATGGAGGTATATCTTATAGGATTGTTGAACCAATCGAACTGTGAATGATTGTGAAGTTGGATAGGTATAACCAGAATGAGGTTTTTTGAATAAAATGCATTTTTCATTAGTTATTGTGTATTTTTTTTATTTAATTAGTTAGTGTATATATGATGAAAATATCCGTCAAATATTCTTTCAGCTATATTACCGAAGCTGGCGCGCAGATGTTTGCAATTTGACATCAGTATGATTCTGCTTAAATGATTTAGGTCAGAAGAACATGTTCGTTTCGTCACGGTTGTTGATATTTCTATTCAATGCAACAGAAAATGAAAGACTCTCTTCATTCAGCTGATTAGAAGAACCATCTTCTCCAACAGCGGAAGGCAGATTTTGTTTAGGGCCACATTTGAGGGGGAGGCAACACAGGGAGTCTGGATATATTCTCAGATTCTCTGCTGTCATAGGAATTCGCACTGTCAAAACAGTTACTTGGGGCACTTCAATGCACCAGGGAAAATACATGGTGCTCATCAAAGCGGTGAGTCTCATAATATACAAAATATCTGCTAACCTCTGGTGCCAACAAGACACCTTCCCTCAAGGGGAGGAGCTAAAATCTACGTAATCGAATCCTCTTTTAGCGACATTGCAGAAATTGCCTCAAGCAGTGATATCGTAGTGTAGCTCTTCTCGTCTCGCATCAGAAGATTCATGCTACGGAAGGTCTGTAGGATAATCACGGAGATTGTTTAAGAGGTGGCAACAGCGAGCGATTGGCTAGATAAGCTCATGTCCAAGCGGCCTTACTTTTCTACATCTGGAGCCGTGCCCACCTCTTCCCCACGTGGTCACTACCAATGCTGACTAATTGATGGTGGTAAGCGGTGTTCGAGAGTCTCGGAACGGAGACTCTACCGATTGGAACACTTTACTTGGTCTATCAATACCGCCGGCGGTATTCTTAGCTCGGAACTCGTTGACCAGAGTATCAAACAGTGGAGTGCACAGGCCGTTAATTGAAGACAGAGTGGGGACATGAATTGCTCTTTTCCGTGGAGTTGTGCACGTAGGTTTGTCACCCTGCATGGAACGGGTATCTACTCGTTAATCACACAGAATGTTTAAGACACAATATACAATGAAGAAGACAACCGCACAAACCTTTGGTTGAACACGAATTGAAATGAATAACTCGAAACAGAAGGCATTAGCTTACGATGTATTCATCTTTCAGATAGTGATGAGTATGGTTCTGGACAACAGATAATCTTGAGTCATGCATGCTCTGAAGTTCAGTTGCAGCTCCTTCCTGTGACTTCATGACCGATAGCATCCTGGACGCTGCTTCGTGGTCTCCAGTGCAGATATCTAAGACAGCAGGAAGGATCACAAAAATGAGTATGTCTAACGGCAACTACAGCTCCGAGATAGACGATTCAGGTCAATCTCACGGAAGTGAAAAATCGACCCTTTCTGTCCTGCTACATACACTTGGAGGTAACACTAGGTGGTCCGAAAATTATACGAAGATGATACTTTTCAGGACAAACGAGTAGGACTGTACCATCAACGTATGTCACAGTGTTTCTATTTTCTTTCTCGATCTCCAAACATGCGGTTTCCTCGAGCCCTTGAAGATTGTGTAGAAGATCTGTATTCGCTTTCAAACCCTCCCTGACATTCCGATGGACAAATTAACCAGATGAGTTCACAAGTGACAGCCACATGTAAAATCTCAGTGTAAAGACTGTTCTGGCTTATCAGAGAAGTAGAAACACTAACCCAAGAATCAAATTGACGACGACGGAGTGGGACTTCACTACATCGTTCACTTCCTTGTAAGTCGACACCCATTTATTTCCAGATGTTGCTGTGTGCTTGGTGCTGCAATGACACGCACACGTAAGAGGAGACTTCGTACCCAATCAGATACTGCAAAACATATATGCACATTCAATTGCAATGAAGCCGAACAACGGAACAAGAGGCTGACTTACCAAGTTTCAAGAATTTCCTCCATCCGAGACACCTTTGTGGCTAACACGGCTGCTTCTTGGGCAGAGGAGGCGTCGGATGTGGCTATGAAGGCGTCCAACCTTCCATTAGCGGCAACAGCTTCTTTCTGGATCTTGCCAACGGCTTCTTGCGCCACATGGGCATGTTGACTCCAGTTATCCCTCAGCTTATGAACTCGCGTACGAACCTGTTACAAAGTTACCGTAACAATCAGATATGATAATATAAAAACCAGCGTCCACAAATACCAGACCATCGAACCAACACATCACCCAGTGGCACAGTTTACATAGTTTCAGTGCTTACAAGATTGGTCCGTTCTGACAAGGAGCTTGCCAACATTGCTGTAATGCTTTCCAGAAGCTGAGTATGTTCTCTCTTAGCGTGTTCCTGCTCAAGACAACGTGGCTTCAAAAAGACCGTACAGTGCCATAGTTCTAGATAAGACGATATGAAGTACTCAAGCGTATTTGAGGGAATAAGGGGTACATCGAAACATCACAATCCCTCCTTGTTGGCTTGACAGCAAAACCATGCTAGTACAATAAATAAACATGGCCACTGACACCCCTTAGAAGATGAGATAAGGACAACCGACCTCGTAGGCCTCGGCGAGGTTGTGGAGCTCTTCATCATGGTTGGCACTGCAGAAATTCACGTGCTCTCGGAAATTTACGGCATCAGTCTCCATTGTGGACAAGGACGCAACCAACGTGTGCGTGATATCCTTGGCGGCTTTGAGGCTCTTTAGGGCCACCTGAGAGGATCAGTACACAAGAATCAGAAAATAGCACGGATGGTATTGAGGCATTAAAATATACCCACGTGAGAAAATTGAATTGCCAAACTTCCGGACATCGCTTACCTCACGCTGTTTTTGGGCGAAATCGGCAACTTCTTGCCGCTGGGTAGAGAGATTTTCTTGCAGATCGTGAAGAACGCTATGCGCGTCAGCGACGGCGCTAACCAGCAACTGTTACAGTCAAAGGAGCCAACATGAGGGAAAGTCTAAATTAAACCGATATATCTTAAGGGGCAAGAACGTCGAGATGATAACTTATGAATCTCGACAACCAGAAAGTAGTCGGAGAGTTCCACCTGCTCAATCAGTGCCGGATGGGCTGCCACAGTAGAATCTAGGGACTTGACCGTGGATGTAGACAAAGCCTCGTGAGCATGCACAGCTGTGTGAACCGACTGCAACTGGCACAGGTACAAGTCTTTTAATCCTTGAAGCTTATTCTTCAGCTCTTCCAGAGCCTGCAGACAGGAGAATGATTATTAGAATGAAGGTTCCAGATCCCGAGAAACGGTTTGCGCAGGGCAGTTATATGGTTATGCAATGAATTACCTGGTCCTTGACATTCAGAAACGACTGAAGCTGCTCTTCCAGTGACTGCAATTGCTGATGTTGAATATCTACACCAGCTACTACCAAGGTGCGTAGTTCTTTCATGTGTTCTGTCAAACCGCTGTGAAAGGCATCCACCAGTTTGTGGTTTCTGATCTCCAGCACTTCCTTCCGTTCTGCTCACGAGACAACATACGTAATTCACTCAGGCGCGCACTTTCATAGCTAGCGGACGGTACATACAAACGGGAAAACGTGGTATGTGAGAACAACTGAAGCTCTGTCGGCTACGGAGCCTTGACATGCAATGCTAGGGACTTTACCTATCTTTGCGAACAAGCCAGTGACATCCTGAACAGCAGCGTCCAGCTCCTTTCTTAGTTCTCCAGCTCGGTCAACGAGGGCATTCTCAGACTCTCTCAACTTAGTTATGACATAGTCACGTTCCCTGATTGCACTAATCGCCTGCTTCAAGTGGTCTGTTGACTCATTCAAGTTGTGTTGCGTGTACTCGAGCGATTTCTGCACAATCGAAAATCACTTGTCAATGTAGCTCAGAATTTACAACGTATCGGTCGATTAACTTAAGGATAAAGCCAAGGTTACGTGTTCCCAACCTGGGTTTCATTCAGCTTGATGAGAAGATCTGAATACAGTTGTTGCTGGGAGTCGTTCAGGAGCTGTAGGTCTTCGATTTGCTGCAAGATAATAACGAATACTCAGGAAATTGGCGACATGTCAGTGGACGCTGAATGATTCATAAATTGAACCGACCATGGAGTGTCCCAGGAGATACCTTGTCTTTAGACTCAGCTTCAAATTCCATGCGTTCAATCTTATCCACCATCGCCTGGAACAAGGATGGAAGCATATTAGTCTTCGGAAGAAGTTGGACACTACGGGCAGAAACGTACAGTCCAACTTCCGATAGAACCCATCAAATTGACACGAACGCAAGGCATGCGTATGTGACGGACCTTTTTCTCAGCTTCCTCCTCAAAGTAACGTTCACGTGGAATATATATGCCGTTCCTTTCGCGAGCAGAGTAGACCTCTGATACATGAAAATAACTCATTCCTCAGACGGATCATTTAATGATTTAAGGACTAGCGCGGCGATGTTATTAGAATTGAGAATCTCACATGTTCGTGTTTGAATTTGGTACCTGCTTTGAGTCTCTCTATCTCCCCATACAAGTCTTTGATAAGAGCAGACTTCATTGTTTTTTGATTCACCTGAAAGAATAAGGGCCGATAGTGATCGGTGCTTAATTGCCGATGGGGAATTTGATTGATAGTAACAGGTACAACACCCTGAGACAGACGTAGGGTTAAAAATGAAACCCACCTCAGGTTTGTTTTTAATGCTCTTGGCCCGATATGCATAATCCAACGTACTGAGTGTTTCGTCCAGACATTGAACAGATGGAGATACAGTGGCGATGATGCATGTCTTTGTTCTCCCTCCCAAAGAATCTCGGAGCAGTCTTGTCAGCTTGCTATCTCTGTAAACATTAACGACAAGAGAATTAAGCTCTAGGAGAGGGAACTCTGTACTGGACGAGAGAGGTTATATGGCCGCTGACATAAGATTCACCTGTAGGGTACATGCCCTAGATGTTCGACAAGGGCAGTAATGACACGTCCAAGAGTAAGAAGACTTTTGTTAATTTCTCCAGCTTCTCGAGCCCGATTCTGAAGGGACAATAATCACAGTGAGTGAAATTCGAGGTGTGGACTGTTCTCAAAGGAAATCTTCAGAATGAACCACCAAGAGAAACTTACATCTTTGGCACCAGATCTAGAGATATTTTCAGATCCGGCCAGATCCACCAAGTTTAACTTTCCACATTTCATTAGCTCCTCGCCTTCTGGAGTGGTTTCCTTGATATGAATTATGATCGAAAATATGGAATGAGAACGACTGCAGAGGATACAGAACACCTCATGAGATTCGGAGACACTGCAAAGGACTCGGTCGAAATCTTGGGTGGTTTTCTTACTCAGGCACTTTCGACTGCTAACACTACAGGTATTGAAATCTTTCTGGAAATGTTGGGTGTACAGGGCAAACGTACCTGGATTGTTTGTTCAGCAGCGTCTCAGCAGTCTGGCGCTTGGCCGAACCCCTATCAAGCAGAGTGTAAATCTCATTAGCGCTAGTAACAATTTCCTCTTCTAAACCTCTGACGAGGACTCCACCTCTTCCATCCTCCATCAAAGCTAGTGGCTTCTTGACCTTCTCATCTATTACCACCTTTGAGTACTCTTCAGGCGCCAATAAATCGGTAAGCTCCTCATTGTAGAGCTCCAAGTATGTGACTTTGACACTATACTCTTGATTGTCCCTATCCAGTGTCTCAAAAATTTGTTGAACAGCACGAGGAATTACACCAGCGTCGGCAGGAAGATCCCCATTCTGTAAGACATTATTCGTCTTAGACAAGTATATATTTCCCACTTCAATTCAACATAAGCTCATCAATCAAGTTGGCCTTTCCGCAAGACACTCGAAATCAAGCGGATGAGGTAGACGGTAGCGCAGCAAGTTCAAAAGACTTCGCAAACCAGGACAACCCAATACCTTGGATTTTCTTCCCGATCCTTCCATGGTGTAGGTTTTCCCTGTCCCAGTCTGGCCATAGGCAAATATCGTGCAGTTAAAACCGTCCAGGACCTCGTTCACGATGGGCACTACAGCTTGGTCATATAGGTCAACTTGTCTGGAATTTGGCCCAAACACCTGATGAATCAAAAAACAACAGTATCTGAGAGATCGGAAGAAGTATACTATCGACAATCAGAAGAAAGCAACTCCAACGAGATATGTGCCACCTGAGGATGGTTTTCGGAGAATGAGATGGAGAGAGAGCGTGGCGGGGGAAGTACGGATACTTCAGTCGGCCGAAGATACCCAAAGTTCGATTGATGTATCTATGAATTTCATGGCAAGAATGCAAATAGGGAGCGGATCAAATGAGGTGAAATTGGCATTCCGTGTGTTCTGCAACTTGCACCCAAGGATGTCTTGGACGAATGGAGCAACGGACTGAATATTCATGGGTAAGAGACACCCTCCGACATAGAAAGAAAGTGCTGTGCTCGTATGGATGTTATCAAACCTTGTCAAAGGTAAACGTCCTATCAATTTGCTTGCTGGCGATATTCTGACACACAGTCACCTCTCGACGGGAGTCATTGCAAGAAATGACCTGAGGAGTCTTGGCCCTTTTCTCCTCTTCATTGAAGGGCCTACAGAAAAGAAGTTCAAATACTCAGCAAACCGGTTTAGCGACAGAAAAAACAATAATTAAAACTGGACGTTGACTCAGAGAAAGGACACTACCTGCAACGAAGCAGAACTTGAACAGCTACGCCTTTGTCTTTTTCCGCTCGGGCAGCCATAGTGTCTGCTGGGACCTTGGCTACTGTCCGAGTGGACCGTGGGGAAAACGGAGTCAGATCGCGAGCCAGGGTTTCTAGAAGCTCAAATGAGCAGGCGATTAAAATCTTATTCTACAGAGGACCCTCAGAATCAAATTCCCATTCTCCAGTGCCTCTCAATGTGGAAGGATAGGATCATTCAAGAACTTAGTTCGACGTGTGGAGTTAACACCTAGGATGTGTCATCTGACCGAGTTCAAGTCTGAGGGAAAGAAGTGTAGCGAGCACCTGAGCACCCAACCCTACTAAGGAGACACTCTTTCCGATTCAAGAGGAACGTCCATAGATCACAGGTTGGATCACATAAAAAGGTAGAAGCCGCTGCAACCAACACAAGCCTCAGACGTCAAGTGCAAAGAACCGCATCCACTTCCCTCTACTGTTTCATGGATCAACAGTCTAAAAAGAAACCGGGACAGGACAATGTTAATCCTACGAGGTTCTTTCTGAAACACCAATCGACCGTTTGCGGGGCTTCAGCAGCGAACGAGAAACATGCAATGCAATGGACTTCCTGCGTCTGTCCAGGCGATCAAGCAAAGACAAGGATCAAAACCCTGCAACCTACTTAGTATTCAGCTTCAAATCCCAGACACGGGGCTTAAGTCCCGGCCTCTCCACAATTGGTCAGCTACAACGAAACAACTCTAGTGTTTTTGTACGCAGCAGAGATGGCTAACAAAAAACAGAGCAATCGAGAAGCGAACCAAGATTGAAGTGGACAAGAGATGCAATGCAAGATAGAAGAGAAGGTGAGCAGCACAAGCTACATGAGGGGGGGGGGAGGGGGGATGTGTGACTGCCGCCTAGGAAGAAGAGGGAGGAGCTCAAAGACATTTCTGTTGGAGCTTAAAGACCGTCTCAGGGACACCATCACCATTTCACTCGCCTCCTCCTTTGCCTTTCAAACCCAATTCCCGCTCATGCGGCTTCAACCCTGTCACGTCTACAAGTTTTTGAACATGGCCCCACAAATTTCCATCTACGAAATGGAGGACAGGTTCTACGCCCTCGCGTGTACTCCTGAGTATTCGGATTAAGATCCCTACAATCTTCACGGAGCGGAAGATTGCAGGTGGCAAACTCTCAGTGGAACCCACCCACTGCGGATTTGTGTGTAATTCCAATTTGAATTTTAGGGGTCCGTTGGAAGCGCTGCAGTTGTTTTATTTCGGTACCGTTGATGAGAAAAACAGAACCTGTATACTTGAGTTCGTCGTCTCTCACTCGCTTAGGGATTCTGAACCAACTTTTTTGTCTCTTCTTCTACAGCGAGCGATGCGCGAAATTGAGTGGTGCTTGAATATATAATTTTTTGAATGTTGTTTTATTTATTCATTATTATTTTTTTTTCCAGGAGCCGACCTGCGAAAAAGTTCCAGTGACCGTTACGAACCCCAATCCACAACGGACCTGCCCGACGAAACCTAACTCCATCCACCGATGTAAGAAATTTCAAATCAATAGGAACTGATCGTTGCCCTCGTAGGTCGCTCACAATCCCTCTCCCTCCCCAACCACCTTTGGCGGGATTTCCGAGGCCCGTTGCAAATTTTTAATCTGACTGACACAGACTGGGGCTCCTTGTTATATGAACGAGTATTGAGGGGACAACGCAAAGCCAAATGGTCTTTCGGCATGAGAAGGCTCTTAGGTATAAGAAATAAAGAAATATATATATATATATATATATATATACATACACATAGGTAGATAGATAGGTAGACAGATAGAGGAGAATGTTAAATAGACCCCAAATTTTATTAAATTTACCCACCCATCCTTCTTTTCATGATATACATACACATAGATAGATAGATAGGTAGACAGATAGAGGAGAATGTTAAATAGACCCCAAATTTTATTAAATTTACCCACCCATCCTTCTTTTCATGAAAGAAAAAAAATCACATTTAGATTCATTTCTTCACTATCGGATCTGAAACCAAAAAAAAACCAACCACATTCATCATGATATATAAAATTATATATGAAAATCATATTTTTTTAATATGTAAATCTATTTAGTAAAAATGGCATTAATTGATGTCTACCATACTTCATTCCTTCCAAAGGGGTCCATCTATTAGTCTATCCCAAATAGGCTTGTGATTGTTGAGTACATTGAATATATTTGGTGCTCTCCATAAGATTTATTGTAGATTACAATAAATACTATAGCTACAATATTTGGAATGTAGTGGGAAGAAATTGTTTATTTTCTTTCTTTCTTTTTGTATACACAAGACAACTACATCAATATACTCTTGTTTTTGTATGTATATGTAATATTACTTCTAATTACTCTTGTATCTCTTTAAACATTTTCAACACATTATTAGGATGATTGCTCTTATATATTAATCTTAGTTCTTAAAAAATTTTGTATATCTTGTCTTTCCATTTTTTCTTATTTTTTTCTACCTTGCTATTGCTGAACCTTGTTGTTGCTCAATCCTACTACTGTTGAATCTTATTGCTGTTGAACTTTATTGCTGTTGAATTCTATTGTTGTTGTATCCTATTATCGATGCATCTTACTGCTATTGTGCCCTACTTGTTGCCAAATTACCTTCAAACTGCAGTGCCTTACTGTTGACTATTGCACCCTACCAAACTCTTGCATCTTATCATTAAATTATTGCACCTTATCACCAATTATGATACCTTTGTCTCGAACTACTACAACTAGTTGTTGATTGCCACTACTACCATAATCCTTAGCAAATTGTAGAATAGATATTAGTTCGTTTTTGTAAGATATTAGTAAAATAGATTAATAGTCCATAGAATAGTCAATTTAGGAGGACAGATGGTTTATTTAGTTATTAAAAGTAATTATTATAGGATTACGATTAGGATCTCGAAATCAGAAGGAATTATATAGGAGTTGTAGAAGTTTGTCAGGGTGCCAGACTGTGAGAGTCATGAGTCGGGGTTAAGCTTGGTACTACCTCTTTGTTTTTTTGTTTTCTTTGTTGTTGAAGAATAATGGATAGTTTTTGAATACTGAGAAGTGAGTCTGTGGAATAAATCAGAGATTGATTTATGAGTTATTGATTATGTAATTGGAGTATTATGTGATTGAATTATATATGAAGTTATTGGAAGATTGATTATAAATGGAAGATTATGATTGTTGTTTATCAAGAGTTGTGTGTGTTTTGGACAGAGGAAGTCTGTGATTACAGAAATTCTGTAAATCCAAATTGGTTGGAGTGAAGTCTGTTATTCCTGGTGTTGGATGGAATTTATGAGTTTTGAGTAGTCTTTTAAGAGTGCAGGTTTGCACATTGTCGTTATCTATTGATGAAGGAGTATTGTTATTGGAAAGAAGCATTGTAGTGTTTCTTGGTGTTTTAGTGGTTTGGAATACAGTTAATCGTGTGACCCTAACAAGTAAAGCTCATGCGCTTAGTCTTTCCCTGTGTTCAAATTCCCCTATTCAGGTTTATTCTGAAAGAAATTTGTAGAATAAGTAAAACAACAATTACATTTTGGCGCCACTGCCGAGGATTGACAATAGCATTGAGTGTTAGGAATCAACTACCGAATGAACAGATGGGAAATAAGAAGCAATTTCAGCAGTATATAATGAAAGATTATGGTTATTAAGAATGAAAACATTGTAGTAAAGAAAACACGCCAGTCAAAAGAAAGACAAGAGAGAATGCAAGCAAGAGAATCGTTGCAAAATGATCAAGAACACAAGTTAAAAAGGAGGCATCAATAAAGTTGGATTAAGCTATGGTTGCATGTCTGTCGATATATCTGAGCATACCCAGAAGCTAACAGATCTCTAATATTTCAAACATATATATCGTTAAGAAAATTGCCAAGAGCACTCATAGGAAATTTTGTCAACAATCTAGCGTATCTCTTGAGCTCATTAAGTACAAGTGGAAGAAACACAGAAGAATTGGGTACTCTATTGGGTACCTTCCCAATAGCGGAAACTGCCGATTCTCTAAAAATTGGTTCTATAGAATGGCATAAATTGCTTGCCAATAAGAGCCAATTCAGCATATTTCAAAATCCATTGTTTTTACCTCCAATTCAATCAATAAACTTATTCAAGGATAATAATAATAAATTGAGGAGGTTGAAAAGTCTGAAAAAGACAATTGGAAAAGGTAGTGGTAATTTTAATAAGAGATTATGCGGCACATTGTCCTCTTCAATGGCGACGAGTGGTCTAGTAGTTCCAATAGCAGTACAAATGGGTGACATGAGTGATCGCACAATGAACGTGGCTCTATTACCTATTTTTAGGGGCTTTTTGAGTACGGATTCCGATCAATATTTGTCTCAGTTTTTGACAGTATGTGTAGTCAATAATGAAAGAACTGAAGATATTTGGTTACGATGGTTGCCACCAACTTTAAAGGACATGGTATTTGAATGGTACAACTGCCAACCAGTGGGTCAATTTTCAAATTGGGAAGCATTGAAGAATACATTTTTAATCCATTTTTGGCCAATAGATTTTGAAGATTGTCTTTGAGAGAGGTTAATGAACATCAAAATGATCTTAAAGGAGGCGGTGGAATTGTATTATGGCCGAGTGGCTGATATACTCAATAAGTGGCCAAATCACCAAATACCGGAGGCATTTATTTTATCCATATTAATTAATGGTTTGCAACCACCAGAGTTAAAAATGTTTGTAAAGGAAGTTCAACCTGTTATGGTGTGTGCATCCTTTAATAGAGCCAAGGTTTGGGAGGAATGCCATTATGATCATTTTTTAACTGCGAGAGCTATGATGATTCTAGTTCAAGGCAGTTATCAAAATTTGACTTGGAACGGATCCATAGGTAGTTATCCACGGAGGTTAGAAATAGTCGCCAATTCTAGTGCCAATATTCATGGGCGAGTTAATGTCACCCCATTGCAAGCTATACCACCGAATGTGACAACAACATATCCTCCCTATTTTCCATATCAACAACAAGTGTTAATTGCAGTAGAGTTAGCAATAATACAAGCCCCAAAAGATTCTAATGAAGCCTTATTGTTAAACATGACAAAGAAAATGGAGGAAATGGCATTCAATATGGCCAAGGATAAGGAAAAGAGAAAAAAGCCTACCAATACTAGGACCAATGTTTGGTGTAGTAATTGTATGGGCCATGGTCATTTGGTAATAGAATGCCCTTCACCTTTATAAATGATGGGTCAATATACATTTTATGGAGGAAAGCACTTAACAGCTAATTGTTGGAATTTGCAAAGGCAACAATAATTTAGTAATCAGACCATGATCTCACCAACTCACTGGAACGTCAATCAAGTTCAATCAAAAAATACGTTTAGATGGAATGGAAAGCAATCTAATCGATAAAATCAAGCATTCAATAACTTTCAAAGTTCCAATTTTAATCAGAGGTCTACATCAAACCCCCAGCACTACGAAAAGGAGCAATAGAGATATCAGCAATATGCTCCTCCAACGTCATCAAATCAAATTCTTTTCGTTCCAACAAGACAACCAGGATCATTTCCTAATCCTACATGGAACAAGCCTAATAGGTATATATCGATGGAGACACCCAATATGCCTGACGGGGGTACAAGAAGATCACTTCGTTATTTTCGTTGCAGACAAATTGGTCATTATGTGAGTGAATGTCCCAATCCTAGAGCTAGTGACGATTATGTGCTAATTTGTCAGAATTGCAAGCAGTCAGGGCATACTTATCAGAAATGTAATGCTCCATTCAATTTTAATAATCGGGATCAACAGATCCAAAATCAAGGAAAAATAGAGGAGATAAATCAAGGTCCTTAAGTTTCTCTGGTAAATCGGATGGAATGTGTCCAAGCCATTCTTACCAAGAGTCAACAAAAGGGAAAAAGACCAATTCAGCATTTGGGTGAGCCTGATGTG